GGTGGATGATGAGAAAGAAGAAGAAAAAGATAAAGGAGAAAAAGAAGAGGAGGAGGAAGAGGAGGACGCAAATGACGAAAAGCTTGGTAGGTAAACTAGGTAATCTGAATGGGGTTCTCCCTGATAGAATAAACCAACAGGATTGGCAGATAAGAAATAAAGCCAATGGTGAACTGAAGATAAGTCAGGAAGGAGAATGTTTTGGGGGTTTTTTTTGTCATTTTTTTTTCCATTTTCCCTTGAAGAGAAGCAGAAAAGTGATGCTGATCTAGGAAGTGCTAGTCAAGAGGAAGAAGAAGAGGAGGAGGAGGAAGACAGGAAACCTGCATCAGAGGTAAGAGTGCCTAATCTTTGAAGGAAGCTTATGCATTTTCTTTCCTAGGTTGTGTAGGACAGGCCTTACTGCAGTGTTAAAAGTTAACCTGGCTCATGTGACCCTTCCTCCCAGTTCAGAACTTTAGAAAACTTAATCTCCCTGAAGAATAGGAATTGCTGTGGCTGACTTGAGCAGGCTTGGGCACCCTGCTAAAGGCACTGCTGTAGACCCTGCCTTGAGAGGGGAGTGGGACTGTTGGAAGGCAGCTTCTTGAGGCAAAAGACTTACTCAGCTTCAATTGCAGTCAGGATGTGACCTTGAGTGCTCTACACTGACACAATGACTCAAAAATGGGTGGAGTGTTGCTTGGAGTTAAGGGATTCTCCCAGCAGCAGAAGCTGTTGAGTGCTCCCAACAAATGTACATCCACTGAAAACAAAGAATTTGCCTGTTTGCCACAAAGTACTTTAAGCACTAGGTCCTTTCCAAAACTGAGTTCTAATGTAAAAGTGAAAGTGGATTATTTTTCATAGATTTTCTCAAAATAGTTACGAAGGGTATATTTAGATTTTGTTTTATTGATGTTTACACAAATTACTTTCTTGCAGGAGGAGGAAACTGTGAATAGATCACCCAGAAACAGAAAGCCAAGGAAAGATTGAAAAAAGTCATAAGAACTTGATCTGTGATTTCTTTTTTTTTTTTGTTGTTGTTTTCAAACATGGTTCTGGGAGAGGACCTTGGACACCTTACATTGAAACTTGGACAAACCTCAAGATTTCACCATCCACAGGTTCCAGTCACACGATCCAATGTAATGGAGTGTCTAGCAGTAAAATATTTGCAATCATCTGTTTTAAAGAGCATCATTCCTGTAGAAAGAAAGCATTTAATATAATGGGCTGTGGATTTTGGAATGTAACATAACTAACCTTTTCATTTTTGGTTTTAAATATTCTTTTCTGTTCTTAAGTAGATTGGTAGAATTTTTCCAGTCTGAAACCTTGGCTTAATTTAATATATTAATTAGTGAAATATAACAATGAATCTTGAAAGTGCTAGGTGATAAAAATGCAGTTTTGTAACTAGTTTTTTTTACAAATATGTAAATTCCTAAATGCACCAATGTCTTTATACCCCGAAAATTTGGTAATTGTTCGAAGAAAAGTTGTCAATGCATTTGACAGCACCCCTGCCCTCAAAAGAAAAGACAGCTGGGGGAAGATGTATGGGGAAACCAGTAGTGAAACTCTCTAATCAATCAACTTCATTCTTTTGGGGGGAGGGGAAAGAGGAAGAAGGGGTGGAAGGAAGGGGTTAGGCAGTCTAGAAAATATATGCATACTGTGCATGGCTAAAGCCCTGTTAAATGTTGACAAACGATCTAGGATTTGGAGTGGCTCATCTTAATGTGGCATTTAATCCTGCAGAGTTTGCAGATAACCAAGTTTATTTGTTCTTGAACTCTTTTTGTAAAGCTGAGGGTTGCTGGGGAGGTGTGGTTAGGCTACTTCCCCCTTTGCTCTCTGTTCAGCCACCGGTGTTTTCCTCTCTGTGACGATACAGCTCTTCCTGAGAGCAGCTTTGCCTCAGCTGCTGAAGCACTTCACGTTCAGCTCATTGTCAAACTCGATTTCATAGCTAGGCCTGCTCCTTTCCAGGGTCCAAACACTGAGTAGGACAGTGTCCCATATCCTCTCACTGTTGTCACTGTACGTCTGCTGTAGAAATGGGGGAGGTAGGCAGGTAGACAAGTTAAAGTGAGTATTTGTAAAAGAAAAAAACCACAACCAAGATGTCAGTATTGTAGGTGGGGAAGGAGCATGTGGAATCTCTTAACTGGTATGTGAAACTGTTTTAAGTCCTTTTATCTGCTCTTCATGTAACAAGTGCATTCTAAATTATATTGTGAATGTTAGGAAATTCCAATTCCAGCTGAATAAATTTTTTTAAAGTGTTGAGTCTACCATACTACACTGTTTCAAACACCCTTTTTTTTTTGTGGAATGCAGGTGAGCACTACAAGAGCATTACCTCTGAGGGTGAGATGGATGTAATTCATTACACTGTACCAAATATGTTTGCATTTGGATGTCTATGTAGATAAACTTTTGCCTTTGTTTAGAATGAAATTAAATGTCATGAAATTATTCTTCTTGCACTGAACTTAAACACTCCAGTGTTGTTTGGTCATATGATAGGTATAGTGTGTGGAATAGTTCCCAGGGGTTGTGGGGGGAAGAGTGTTCCAATTACCTTGCAAACAATCTAACCAATTACTAAAAGACTCTTGTTTTGGGTTGGGTTTTTTTTTGGTTTTTTTTTTTGTAAAACACCTTTTGCTGCCTGTCCTTATGTTGTATCCCTTGGTTGTTGTGTTTGAAATATTAGTGATCACAAATGCATAGCAGGATTTCTTGATCTCTCTGCAGTGTACAAATAAACTGTTGTAAGCAAGATACTGGAAGTAATTTCAGACTTCTGTTGGGAGCTATTGCATGTTTAGAATGCCTTTGCCTGTTGAACACCTGGTCAATACTGCTCCTTATTGCAAAAATAGCTTATACTCTGACATGGAAGATGTCATAGCTTAAGCATTGCTACTAGCTTGTTCTCAGGACTGTATTTTTATCAAGGAGCAGCTGCTATTTATGACTCTCAGTCCTTTGAGATGAAGTATATGTAAATGGTTTCAATTCAGCTAATGTTTTGAGCACAACATAAAAATTAATTAATCTAATGTTTTTTTATCTTAATATGCAAATTGCCTTAAACTCCCAAACAATCCCTGTGCATACATGTTCTTTCAAAGCATCAAAAGTGAACTTGAGATCTGCTATCAGCTTTTAAATAGCATTATATTAAAGCTAATTGTAAATCTACATTTGCTTCTGCTAATTCTCCTGAAAAAGTCCTGTCTGCATGTTATGGCTTTTTTTGATACCATAGTGTATGCTTTAAATAATCACTACAATAAATGAAGACTTTCCAAAATGGATAGACAAGTTACTTTTTATCCTGTTTTCTGGCTTGGGTGCCTCAGTTTGACCTTAGAATTGCTCTAATTTTTAAAGTCTTGGAGGAAAAATACAGCTACCTGTTTATCCTCATTTCATAAAGCATAGCTGTGTTTTTTAGAGTAGTGAAACTCCACCTGGCTGTAACCTGTGAGCTGTGTTTGGAACTGTTACAGATCCTGGAAGGTATATTTGGGCCTTTTGTGCCTGTGCAGCCAAGGGTGGCAGCTCTGGATAAGGATGCTGAGCTTGAGGTGCTGGTTCTGACAAGGGGGGAGTGTTGGGCTGAAATGGTGAATCAAAACAAAACCCCTGGGCTCTGACACACAAGGCACAAAGCAGACAGCAGCTTTCCTGCTGGAGCCAGTGGTTGGTAGGGGCAGTGCTAGGTCAGGGTGCATCTAACCCACTAACCCCTGCCAGCAGCATCCCTGGCTGTGATCTCCCCTCGCTGCCTCCCTCAGTACTCGATTGTCACAGCTTGAGGCTGTGGCCTCTGCTCTGCTATGAATGTCTGGTTTTGAGATTGACTCCTGTGCCTGAGGAGGGTTTCTTGCAAGTAATGACAGCTTGTACATGCCCATGGTTTTTTCTTACTCTTTCCTTACTCCTCCCTCACAAACTCAGCTCCTCGACTGAGGAGGGTACAGATGTGGGGCTTGTGACTGCTCTGCTCAACCCAAACTGATGGTTAATACCCCTCTTGCCTCGTAGTTTGTGAAAGGGGTTTTTGGTTGATTGGGTTTTTGTTTTGGTTTCTTTTAGTTGGTTTTTTTTTTTTTTTAGTGTTGCTGGACACAACTACTGTGATTTCATGTCCATTTCAAACAGGTACTTGTAGAAGCAACTTGAAAATAAAAATGTAAAAACTAATCAATAAAGAAACTTAAATCTGGTTGGCTTTGTTTGTCTAATTAGCAAAGCTGGCTCAGCCCTCAGCAGGCTCAGGGTGCGGTGACCCGTGTCTCGCGGTTTTGTCACTGCGGGGCCGAGCGGGTTCCGCAGCGGTGCCCGGGACACGGGGCCGGGCCGGGCTCCGCTCCAGCGCCCGGGCTCCTGCCCGCCCCTCCCTGTCAATCACCCGCGGCCCCGCCTCCCGCCTCTTGATTGGCCGGGCCGCCGTCGCTCCGCCCCTCCATACCTGTTCCTTTAAACCGCACCGAGCGCCGCCCCCAGCTCGCCTCCGCCGATTAATTCGCGCCTCCGCGCCCTCCTATTGGCTGGGAGGGGCGTCGGTCACGGCTCGTGACGCGCCGCGCGCCGTGACGTACCCCCCACCCAGGAAGCTCCGCCCATTTATTCTCAACTCGGCTCTGGAGGGGAAAAACAATTTCAAGATGGCGGCGGCGCGGACAACAATGGGGGGCCGGGGGTCCGGGCCGGCCCGCGCCTGAGGGCGGCGGCGGAGGGAGCGCGGCGGGCTCCGCCAGGCCCCGAGAGGCGGGCAGGGCTGAGGGCGAGCGGGGCAGCGGCGCGGCGCCGGGCTCGGGGCAGAAGGAGGAAGTGGGGCGGGGGAGAGAGGAGCGGGCGCCGGGCCGGGCGGGGGGAAAGACCCGGGACGATCCCGGCGGGGAGCGCAGGTAAGGCCGGCGGGAGGGGCGGCGGAGGCCCCGCCATGGCGGGCGCCGGAGCGAGGAGCCGGTGAGCGGCGGCGGCCGCCCCTTCGCCGCCCGGCCCATGGTGCTGCCCCCCTGCCCCATGGCGGAGTTCGTGGTGCCGCGGCACAGCGCGGTGATGGAACGGCTCCGCCGGCGCATCGAGCTCTGCCGGCGGCACCACAGCGCCTGCGAGTCCCGCTACCAGGCCGTGTCCCCGGAGCGCCTGGAGCTGGAGCGCCAGCAAACCTTCGCCCTGCACCAGCGCTGCCTGCAGGCCAAGGCCAAGCGGGCCGGCAAACACCGGCAGCCGCCCCCGGCGCCGCCGCCGCCCGCGCCCCCTCCGCCCGCCGCCGCCGCGGGGAGCGCCGAGAGGAGCGGAGCCAACGGGCTGGACGGCGAGGCGGCGAGCGGGGAGCAGCAGCACGGCCGCAGCAGCGCCCTGATCGCGGTAAGCGCCCCCGGGGCCGGCTGCTGGGGCCGGGAGGGACCGGCGGTCGTGCCCGGCTGGCACCGGCACCTCTCGTCTGGAGCGGGATGGGGGAAGGAAAAGGAGCTCTCGCTGCTGCTGTGGTGGCCTGCGGTGCGAGGGCTGGGCTTGGGGCTGCTCTGCCGAGTGCCCTCTCTGCTGTGTTACAACTTCGCAAACGATAAGGGCTGTTTTGTTTGCGCTCGTCACCTCTGCACGCTGGAAGAGTATAGAAAAACTGTGGCATGATGGGGTAGAGACAGGATTTCTGTGATGCTTAAATCATTCAGATTATTTTGTGAATCATATTTCTGGCTAATTCACCTAAAATGCCCCTGCAGAAACTGTCAGAGGGGTATTAATACTGCGGTGCCTTTGGATTTTTGTTTGCTTGCTTAAGTTTTCAGTTTGGGGTGTCCCGGTTTTGTGGAGTCATTTGATAAGGATATGCTTCTTACTGGGGGGGGGGAGTTTTAAGACAATGTGTCTGTTAATTCTGGTTCATATTGGAAAGAATTTCAGTGGAAAGGCAGCTGCTTGTTTGCCGCTCACTCTAGTGGGTGTGAACACTATGAGAATCCCACTCCACCCATTAAAAACTGGCTTAGCTCAAAATCTTAATGTTTCTCTGGCTTCTCTAGCATTTCTGGTTGTCGGGACATATTCACATAGCCCTGTTTGTATATCAAGATAGCTATTGCTTAACTTATTCTGGGCCCTTTAAATATACTGCTGTGTGCTAATGTGTCAGTAATGTAGGTTAGTAGGATAACCTCTTAAAGGCTGCCTGTCCTAATACCTGTCTGCCTTAAAATCAAGTATTTTTAAATGGTGGCCTGCATGAAAATGATTCAGTAGCACTCTGAGTGTCTTTAAAAGGGGACATTGGGTTAAACAAAGATATTCCCAGGTTAATAAATAGAATAAATAATATTTTTAGGGTGCTCTGTGTATTTGATTGGATTAGAAAGGAAGGAGGATATATTTCTCTCTGTCTTGGACCTCATTTACTGTTTTTAAAATAGAATCACAATAGAGCTTTTATGTATGCTTGAGTGTTCAGGACATAATGTGAAATACTGAAGGGGGTTTATCTATGTCATCTTTACTGTGACCAGCACTAGGCAGCCTGGGTGCAGTTTGTAGTATTTACAAGATGAACTGAAAGTGTTACTTGACTGAATTGTTTCTGTTCTTGCTAAAACACCTATGAGACTCGAGGACTTGCTGACTGTTGAGAAGACTGAGGTCCTTGTGACACAGTTAGAGCACTTCAGAGGGCTGCTGCAGAAGGGTACTTGAGGAAGAGAGGAAACCTTGTGCATTCCTGACACTGATTCTACAAAACTTTACGGTTAGCTGTTGTTTAGTAGACTAATCTTGAATGTAAACTTGTGTCAAAACAAAAATGACTCAAACTTGGGGTTTATTATCTAAAACCTTGGTGGAGGTTCTGTTTATTTCCTGCTGAGCTCTTGGGCTTTTTGCATATGGGGCTCTACCCCTTAATAATGTGTGTTTTCATTTCACTCAGGGCTCTTTAGCATGTCAAATCCTGTTGCTTAAACTGCCACCACACGACTTCATATTGATCTTCTGAAAGAAAGATGTCTCTAATTCATTGGTGTTGTTTCTCTTCAATCACTTTGGATGTGGATTTGATCTAATTAACATCCATTATAATGAGGGCTCTCAACAGCAGTCGGTTCTGAAGTGCACTGCACATCTTGGGGGAAGCCCTTGTACAGGAAGCTGCTGCCAGTGGCCAATTTACACAACAGAAGAGGGGTTTAGTGGATGAATGACTCTTCCTCGGGCTGGCCTGCTGTTTCCTTCCTAGCATCCATGACTGTGAGCTTAATTGCAGCTGCTGATTCATCACCTCGTTACTGGGGTATAAAGTTGGTTTGCTTAGTAATTCAAGTCTTGGAAAAAAACATAACAACAACAGCACCTCTGCTGCTGATTTAATTCCTCTGGCCCAGAAGGTCCCTCTCTGGGTTGGTGTTTTACCTCTACCTATCGTGTTGCCATTATCAAGACCAAGCATGTGCTTTGAATGGGAAGGATATGGGCTTGATTTCCAGCGTTCAGTAAAGTTTGGATGAACACCAGAACTGTCTTTTAAAACGTCCTGGACACATCCTTTCCAAAGAATGCTGCTAGCTCAGTGCAGCATGCATTATATCAGCTGTTGCTGCTGTAGCAGTCCAGATTTTTCTGTGAAGCTGCATATGAATCTGCTCTTGGAAATTAGTACTTTATGTTGACTGTTAATGAAGCATTTATTTTGGTCCCTGAAGGAGAGAGCAGTTCATGTAAAGGTGAAGGCTTTTGTGAGGTCTTGTAGCAGTAGGACATGAAGCTGCATTGCCCCAGGTGTGGGCAGTGTGGGCACTGCCAGGTGCTGTGCTGCTGAGCACCTTCTGTAAATCCACAATAGTCACAGGGAACAGGGTGGCACCAGCACTTCCTCCTTAGTCTTGTATGATTTGTCACGTGGACAAAATCAGATATTTTCTCTTCCATTAGTCTTTGCTCTGGTTTAGATCCTGAAGTTAGATGGATCTTGCTTACAGGCAGAAGTAAGGGATAGATTCTTCCTTGTTTTCTTACTTAGCAGCTGTAAAATTTGAGCTACAGAGACTGAGAGCATACAGCATTGATACAGAAATACTTTGGATTATCTGTGCATCACGTAGGCCTGTCCTTCATTTGAGAAAAATGTTGAAAAACCTTCTAGCTTCCTACTTCTAAAAAACTTCCAGGCCATTATTTAATGGGAAATCCAAATGGTGACATCTTCTTCCCATTTCTGTTCTTTAACGTGACATTATTAGGGCTGTGTTCAAAGTAGAAGATGCTTGATATTTGGATAATGTTTGCAGTGGTAATCTTCCATTTTTGAGAAACAGGGAAGTTGGGAAGAGATGGAGCTTGTCTCCTAGAACATTTTTTTCTCTGCCAGCTTCTGATAGATGAAAGTTCATGGAATAATGGTGTTTAAATTCTGTGCAAGAGAAAGGTTGGCTTCCTTACATTTCTGTGGTAGACAAAAAGGCAGTGGATGGCTGAGCTGAACAGAAGCTGTTTCATTGACATGTGAATGAGGAGAATGGCAGAGATCTGGATTTTCATCTCCACTCCTTGTTTTATGATGTGGTGTCTTGGAAGGAGAGCTGCTCCCTGTTTCTTACTGGGTTTTTTCCCCCACCTGAGAGCAGTTGTTGTGCAGAGAGCTTGCTTTGTCTAGGACTGCCACAAAACCACAAACAGTATTTCTGGAATGAGCACAGAAGTCGAGTCAGTGGCCTGTCTTGAGAAGGCTTTGTGTTAAAGCTGAAGAGCAGCTTTTAACATTTATTTGGGAGTGATAGATGTTTTGCATTAATATTAGTTAAACACTAAATTAAGCAAAGGCACCAAGTAAACAGTTTTAAATAAAATTGAAGTCCAAGGAGGGCAATGCAGTGTTTCTTGGTTGAAAGACCTAAAGTAATAAATTAAAGGGAATAGATTGTCCATAGTGTACTGACAAGTGTTAATGATGTTCCTCTAACAAAAGCTCAGGCTGGTACTCTAACAGTTCAGAAGACCTCATTTTTGTGTAAGCTGTGGTATAGGGGTGTTAAATTGTGAAATTATGTTTTACCACAAAGATAGCAAATTATTTACATGTTATTTATATATAGCCATGGTGCAGTGTAGTCTTGCCACCATTGTTTGTTTTTGCTGACAAGTCTGATAGTTTGTTGCCCAACAACTCAGACAGGTTTTTCTTTGTCTCCTTTTAATTCTCTGTGAGGTATTGTTTTATGTTTGAAACATTTCCCTTGCCAGATTAGTTAGATATGCAGTGATGTTTCCTAAGTTGTAAGGATCTGGGAGTGACTGAGCTGCTGCTGCTGTTGAAGTTCAAGTGAGGTGGAGAATCCGGCATTGCAGCTGAAGGCACAGGAGTTTTTTTGATTCAGCAGAACAATTCCTGTAGCAGAAGCTGCCCCTTGTGACTAATGCAGGCTTGGGATATTTATAGACATGCCTATCCACAGCCCTTCTTCACTCCAGCAGGCAGACACCCAAATACAAAAGTCTGCTGGAATTAAAGTAAAAATTAAAAAAGAGTCCAGCAGTTTGGTTCTGAAAGCACAGTGGAATGCAGGAACACATTGGGTAATAAAATGCTTTCCTTGCAGAGGGAGTGCAGCTTTGGAAGCTGAGGGTAGATGCACAGTAAAGGGGGGGTTCTTGCTGTGGGGTGTAGTCAGAATGTTATGTTTTCTATCCAAAATTCATACACTGCAGTGTCTGGTATTTGCATTGTTATTCCAGCTTAAGAAGTTGTCATCTTTGTTGCTGTTGTCCTTAGTGAGGCAGGAGAGGAGAATCAGTGTCTGTGGAGCACCTACTGTGAACTCTGGTACATGGGGGCTTATCTGTGCTGCAATACTGGCACTCCCATGGCAGAAAAATGAATGTATTCTGATTTGGTTTCCCCTTCTGTTTCAGAATGCTAGGAGCCATATTGGAGCTAGTTTTTTATTATGCTTGTAGTCTAATACAGCACTTCTTCTTTGAAAATGTCCAGCATTATGTTTCTCTTGCTCCTATATCAAAACAAATTCTTGTAGACTTAATTCTGATATTGAAATGGTAAACTAATTTGAAATGAAATACAAAAGATTAAAACTCTACTAAATCCTGTAAGAATATTTAAATCTCTGTAACAGATGCTTTTAAAAGCTAAATAAGAACATTATAGAGCCTGAGAGACACAGTATGGGTACCAGATTTTTAAGAATTTTCTTTTCTGCCATGTTCATGAGGTGGTTTGTTTGTTTGTTTTTTTTTTTAAATGAAAACTGCATACCGTTTGTATATATATATCTATATATATGTATCTGCCATCTTCAGTTTAGGTCTCAAAGTGTAAAAAAGTATTGGATTTTTGCAAGAGGACTTTAGCTGACTGTCCTCAGTTTAGCTGTTCTGAATGCTAAAGGATTTTTTGCTTTCAAACAAATAATGTGATCTAAACTTTCATGCCTGTTAAGTTCTAATGCATTGCAATGTCATTGGTTTCAGATTGTTATCTAAATGTAGTTTCAGGTATAAAGTCCACACCAAAATAGTGAACACCAAACAAACAAACAAAAAACCCAACAAAACCAATCAGAACAACTTTGTACCACTGTTTTGATCAGTGATTCATGCCCCTTCCCACCAAGGCAGTAAGAGAGCACTGCCCTGGCCTCTGAAGTTTTGAATTCTGCCAGTGCTAATAGGCAAGCAATAGATTAAGTTTTCAAGCTTTTCTGGTTTCTTGTTGGGCTTCTGTTGTAGTTCTTGGACAGCTTTTATGAAGTCAGTCAATTTGCCCCTGCAGTGAGACCACAGTAGGGCTGAGCACCATTGTGGTAAAGCTGGTGGGTTTAAGACAGAGATTGAATCTATCAAAATGCTTTGTGTGCTCTCTGTTTCTGCTGGAAGCTTTGTCATTTGCCTGGGCACACATCCATCTCTGGCATTGCAGGCCTGTCTCCTTGTCAGTGTGTGAGTTCCATGGCCAGAGGCTGCTGTGTTGGACACCTTTTGTTGTCATGGATGCCACCTGGGCTTTGTCAGCTTGTGTTCTGTGCATGAGGAATGCACAGTGGAGCATGTGTGCTCCTGCCAAGGAAGTGTTTATGGCCACGTTGAGGACTGTGTGTTCTGCTCACGTGAATAAAATGCAGCTCAGGTGATGGAGGAGGTGCAGCCTGTGGCCCCTCAGTGGCTCTTTGACACTCTCTGACCTGTCCTGGGCAAAGGATGAGGCCAGCTCACATCCCCTGCCTTGCACTCGTCCTATATCAGTATAAATACTTCAGATAAATGCTTTTGGGGTAATATTTTTAGGCATAGCTAGATAGCAGTGATCTAGGAAGTTCCATCTTTTGTTGGAAAATTGAATAGGCTGAGAAACTGAGAGGACACTTCTGTACCTGATCTTGTGACAGTGGAAATGATCGGCTCAGTGTTACAAATAAAATTGATTGATTCTGCTGAGGAAATTATGGACAGCATACTGGAGGAACACTGTGCCTTACAGGATGGTAGTGAACAAAAAAATTAAAGCTGAAGGGGGTTTCTTAGCGAGTAGCAAGCTATGCTTTACTTCATCCATGTGTTGGTTGGTTTTTTCATGAGTTTTGGCAGAAGAGAACAGGTTTTTCTTGCCTTGAGAACTCTGTTGGAGCAGCTTGATATGTAGATAGCTTGCAGTCTGACTTGTATCTCATATGCAGTTTGTTATTTTTCCCCTCAGACCAGATTATTTGGATAGACACAGACAAACTGGGGAGGAACTTAATCTCCCTTTTTTCTCCAAAGGAGTACAGTTTTAGGTGAAAGGAGGATTTTGTCCCAAGCAACTTACAGTCAAAATGTCTCCAAGGATCAGATATCTGAGTGTTATGACTGTTAAAATCCATAGAGATCTGAGAGTTCCTGAGCTGGATATTAGGGCTCTGTGTCTTTTTCTAGACTGCAGTGAGTGTAGCTCACAAAACCAAGTTATATTTTGATGTAAGTTTTCAGGGAGTGGGGTTTTTCCCTAACTATTTAGAATTAAGGAGGACCCATTCCCAAACTTTGAGTAATTTGACTCATCATATAACCTTGGGCAAGTTACTCATCCACCTTGAGCTTCAGTTTTCCTGGTGGGAGTATGAAGTAAACAATGGGAAATGCTGAAAGCCAAATGTTGTGATGGAGTTGAGGTTTTTTGCTCTCTGTTGTTTTGTCTTTTTACAAAAAAGTAAATTTCCGTTATTCTTTTGAGTTGGTATTTGAAAAATGCACTAGGGAGCTGCTACTCCAAGCTAAGGACCTGATGTTCAAATTAAGAGATTTCAAGTTCCAGCCTCCTCTCCAGATGTACACCTCACCTCATCCTACTCAGTCTTCTGCTGATCTTGCTATTCTGCTGCTGTTTCCATGAGCCATCTAGAAGATCACAGTCTCCAGGGAAGCTGGAGTCTGTCCCACAGATAAAAATAAGTCTTTGCTGTTACCTATGCAAGCATTAAACAAATAGTGGGGTTTTTTTGCTGTTACCTGTGCAGGAATTAAACAGATGGTCTGGGGTTTCTTTGCCCCCAAAGATCAGCTCACTGTAGGCAGTTAAAAAAAAATAGGAACAATTAACTGTGAACCAGTCCTTCTGTCTGTAAATCAAAGAATGCTGTTGCTCAGGCAAGTGTGTAAAATTCTTCTGATAATTTATGCTGGCCCTACATCCAGCCTCTTGCTTGAATGCTGAGATCTTGAGGTTTCCCATTTTTCCCTGGATGAGTTTTCCCCAGGGGTTAGTGGACTGCCCAGTGAACACTGCAGGTAATATGAAAAGAACCATGCTTGTCTTGAGGTTTGTTTGATGAGCTGCTTTCCTGCCCTCTGAGAGGGCTGTTGTTCAGTGACCCCACACCTCAGATGGTGGCTTTTGGTGGAGATTCCTGTCGAGGGTCCTGCTGGGATGTCCCAGGGTGTCTGACCCAGGCTGGGAGCTGATGGCAGCTCCCTCTCCCAGCTCCCCACGCTGCTGGAGCAGCGGCTCTGCCCTGCAGCTTTGTCTGCGTTGGTGGAGCGTTCCAGCACCAGCAAAGCTCAGATTTTTTTACAGAATGCACCTGAGGGAAGGAAAAGTTTATAGTCACCTTTGATGTGTGCAGGAATTCTGTTTTCAGATGCTTTTGAGGTCAATAGAAAGAACATTATATTTGCAAGAATGCTGGCAAGAAGGAGAAGTTGAACAAAGGTGCTCAGGCTCTGGCTGTGAAGCTGCTGCTGTAGCCGCTGGTCGCTTCTAGGTGGCACCACGAGAAAGAGAATCTGTGCCTTCACCATCTGGGAGAGGCCAACTGTGGAGCTGCTTGGGGCTCTGGTGGTCAGAGCAGCTGGCAAATACTTCAGGAGAAAAGAGAAAAGGAATGAACTTGCTCTGCTGTGATAGAACTGGCTGAACTCTGAATTGCATTTTCCACAAGTGTGAAGCAGTGGTCGCTAAGTGACAAATTGGTTTTGCTTCAGTGCCAAAAGTGTGATTGTGTACAAAATTTATATACACAGTTCTTCTCTAAAAGATATTATCACAAGAGAATTACTTGTTTTTTCTAAATATTTAAATGTGGGACTGCTTTATAAATATTTAAATGTGAGACTTATGGAAGAGTCTCATGGAACAATTAGACTGTATGTGTACATAGTTCAAATAGAATACAGGTTTTTATTCTCATCTGAAATTTGATTCTTAACATTATTTAATGTTTTTCTCCTTTTGAATAGGAAAAATCATAACATATTCCAGTTCACAGCCATTTTTCAACTTTTTGTTGTCAGAGTACTTGGCAGCTTCTAGTTTTGTCTGAAGGAGGGGGTGTCTGTTTAAAGTAGTACATGTTTTTTGAAAAATTTCTGTGAGAGATTATAGTGAGGAAGTAATCTCATGTGCTGACTTGTAAAACAAAATGTTACCAAAACAAAGATGCAATCTTTGATTTTTTTTTTCCTGAAATGTTTTGTTCAGAGCGAGACAATGTTCTGGTAAGAAATAAAAATCCAGATTTGTGTAACATAGAACTACATAACTAAAATATTCCTTTTCTTTTTCAGCAGCTCCATGAGACTGTGAAAAGAAAGCTTGATAGTGCTGCTTCCCCTCAGAATGGAGACCAGCAGAATGGCTTTGGTGATGTGTTCTCTGTGTCCAAGAAACTGCGTCGTGAGGATGGTCTGGGAGTGAGTGGTTCTTCCAATGGAATGCCCCCTGTGTCTCCACTCCATCATCTGGACAAGAAATCTGGTACTGGTGATACCTTACAACTTAATGGGAAGCATCCAATGGGGCTCGATGGCATCAGCAAGAAGTGTCTTCCAGATTCCAGCCTGCAGCTGAATGGAGGTGGTGATGCTGATGATTCATTTCCTCTGAGTTTGAACAAAGAGCTGAAGCAGGAGCCTGTAGATGAGCTTCCCTGTATGAATCCTGTAGCAGGGGGTTCTATATCTCAGAATAACCTGATGCCTGATCTTAACCTAAATGAGCAAGAATGGAAGGAACTTATTGAGGAGCTCAATAGATCAGTGCCCGATGAAGACATGAAGGATCTCTTTAATGATGACTTTGAAGACAAAAAAGATGCAGATTCTTCAAATTCAGCTGCACAGACTCCATTACCACAAGATATTAACATAAAGACTGAGTTTTCCCCAGCACCCTTTGAACAAGAGCAGCTGGGATCTCCCCAGGTTAGACCAACTTCTTCAGGTTCAGCATTTATTGGTGCTGCTTCTGTACCTGTAAGTGCCGCTTCTACAACGGTTGTTACTTCTCAGGCTATGTTCCAGCCTTCCAGTCAGTCAATGACTGAAAATCCTAATCAGCCCATGATGCAGGCATCAAACCACTCTCAGAACATCCAGAGGCCTGTATTGTTACCTGGGAAGTGTGCAGGAAGTGCCAAAGAAATGTCTTCTGCTCATCAACTTCAGCAGATTGCAGCCAAGCAGAAGAGAGATCAGATGTTGCAGAACCAGCAACAAGCTTCACAGGTCCACCAAGCAAATCAGATGTCAACGTGGCAACAGCCTGGGCCTTCCCATAGTCCACTGGCTGTCCCATATACCATGGAAAATCCTACTAGCCCGTCGGTTTATCAGCCAGACTTCAACAATCAGAAACTCATGATGCCTAGTTTGGGAAATAAGAGCTCACCAAGAGCTGGAGGCAATTATCATGTGAACATTTTGGGCCATCAGCAAAACAGCTTGAACCAGAACCCTGTGAACAGTCAAAGCTCTATGCTGGACTATGGGAACACCAAACCTCTTTCCCATTACAAAGCAGAGTGTGAGCAGGGGGTGGCAGTGCCTGGGCAGAACAAGGCTCCCATGCTGGCATACATCCAGCAGCGCCAGCAGCCACCACTGTCCCATGTAGGTGACGACCAAAATGGGATGATCCTGCTGAAACCCAAGCCTGGAAACATGGCCTACCGACTGCCACATGGTCAGGTGAATGTCCTGAGTTACCTTTGCTCTGTAGCAGATTTAAGGGTGTTGGGTAGGTAAGGCTGGAGTGCAGATTCCTTGGTATAGTTTCAAATGTTTCCATTGATTTTAAAGAGAAAAATCTTATATACAAGACCCTTAAACAAGAATGATGAGGTCTTTTTTCCACTGGGGACAGTTTTTAATACTGGGTTCTAGGTCATGTAACGTGTGATTTCCAGCTTAATATACTTTGTGGGCAACAAATTATGTTGTGCTTCACAGAAGCTTCTACTTACAAAGATAAATAGATGCTTTGTAAACTTTTGACTAAAATAACTTGTATAAAACTGTAGTGTTACACAGTGTTCTCAAAGAAGCTTTGATTTCTTTACCTTGTTTTTAGTCCCTACTTGTGTCTGAGTTGGCTTACTATTAAAAGACCTACTTTTGCAGAGAGGTGGAAGTAGGGGCTGCATTCCTGATTTCTTGGGTGTTCCATGGAGCCTTTCAGTTCTATGGATTTTTATTGGTTAAGTCTCTGGGCACTGGGGAAGCATGGCATAGGAGAGAAATATATCATTAAGAATGAATAATGGCAGTGTTTGTTTGCTTGAAGCATATGCTTCAGGTTTTTAACAGAAAATTCCAGATGGTGCTCCTTTGCCTTGTATAGAACTGTTACTACAGGTATGCTGCAGGTGAAAATTTCTGTAGTAGTGGGTGGAAGTTTAAACTCATTGGATTCTATAACATGTACCTGCAATGCACATACAAGAGGACTTGTTGAAAAGAAAAGGTATTTGATTAAAGTTCCTCCAGCAAAAACTGTTTGAGATCCAACTCTAGTCATATGTTCCCTCAACAAAACAGAAAACCTGCGAAAAAGCTCTGATTTGTCTGTGATAAAGACCACACCAGTGTACAAATAGAAATTTGAGATCAATGTGTGCTTCATAAAAACAAAAAGGATCTCTTTGAAAGCTGGCAGAAGTAACAGTCTAACAACATTTTGATGGAAGAAGGGTAGAGATGATTGTGTGTGTCACATCTCCCCCTCACTGAAAAATGTGAGGGTGACCTTGTGTCTACACTGCCACACTTGCACTGAACTAACAGAAATACTGATGAAAGCTTTGAGAGAATTTCTCAAAACTTGCACACAGAGCAACTTAGTGCAGCATTCCTTGTATTTGGCTTGTGATTCCCTATGAAACTGCAGAGTGAGAACCAACAGCCAAACCCATTAGCTGACTGCTTAAATTAAACGTAATATTTGTTTGTGTAATTAGAGATGAGGCTGAACTGTGCTTTAAAATGATGAAAACTGTCAAATTTCAAAGGGATTTGCTGGTACTAGGAGGGCTTTTGAATGTTCCATGTTATTTTTGCTTATCCCATGTTCCAGTCTCAGAAAAAAAGGACAAAAAATGCAGACTTAAAAAAAACTAATAATATCAGACTTATCTCTAGTAGTATTTTTGTCTGTAGTGTGTGGTGATGGTTGGGTTGCTGGAAAAATACTTTAAGAGCCATTTTGACCAGTGGAAGCCTTCTCCCCTTCACCTGCAAATAGTAAATTCTCTGATATTAAAAAAAAAGGCAGCTTTAGGATGAGAGACATAAACACTTGCAGGATGAAATGTTGACAGAAGAGGCAGGATTTCAATAAATGCTTTGTATAACAAAAATATCAAATGTAGTGTTTGAAAAATTGCTGCTAAAATAAACAGAAGCTGGGGTGTTTGACGAGCAGTTTGTAAGTGCCTGAAAAAAAGCACATAGAGCTTTACTGACCTGTTTGAGCTGGAAATTGGGAGGAACTTCAAGACTGGAGTTAAAGCCTCTATTCCTAAATGTTGGGGAGCTTCTGACCCTAACTCCAAACTGGCAGTTCTGTGTCTGGTGCTGTATAGATGTGAAGAAGGTAGTGCATTTCTGTAATTTCTATTACTTTTCCTGTGTTCTGCAGGATCAGAACCCTGCTCCTGCTGTTCCTCGTGTTCCTGTTTCTGTCCCGGGCCCTGGGGTGGGTGCCCAGGCTCCAAATGTCACCATGGCAGGTAACCACAGCAGCTCAGCTTATCAGCAGCAAGCAGCAGTGATGAAGCAACACCAAATGCTGATGGACCAGCAGAAGCAGAGAGAGCAGCAACAGAAGCATCTGCTCATGGAGCAGCAGAAGCAGCAATTCCTGATGGAACAGAGGCAGCAGCATTTGCTGGCAGAACAGGTGAGAGGGGCCAGCTCTCTGTTTTTTAATTTGTGCTGCTTTGCTTAGGTGCATGAAATAGCATTTGATGTTTTAGAATCAGAGAATAGTTTGGTTGGGAAGGACCTTAAAAATCATCTCAGTTCCAGCTCCTCTGCCAAGGGCAGGGACACTTTCCACTAGACCAGCTTGCTCCAAGCTCCATCCAACCTGGCCTTGAAACATTTCCAGGGATGGGGCAGCCACAGCTTCTCTGGACAGCCTGTTCCAATGCCTCACCACACTCACAGTAAATAATTTCTTCCTAATATCGAATCTGAACCTAACCTCCTTCAGATGGAGGTCTTGGAATCCCCCTTGCTCTATCACTTCATGCCCTTTTGAGACAACTTCCCCCTCCAGCCTTCTTATAAGCCTCCTTTAGGTACTGAAAAGTGCTCTAAGGTCTCCCTGAATCATCTGCCCATCAGAAGCTTTATGAAAGGAGGAAATTATAGTCTCCTCTGAACTGAAAATGAATAACAGCCCATTTTGTGGGGAAGGTTGTAGTAGAATATGCAGGATTGTGGAGCTATGGCTGTGCCAAGTCCTAGCCAATGGTTGTTTTATCACTTGGAGACATCCTGATGAAATTGAGGTGTCAATAGAGGGGACAGAAAAACCCCCTCAGTTCTGAAGCCAGTGTGGACAAAACATATAAATGTGGTTGACAGTGTATGAGTGTTGGTAAAGATATGTTTTTGATATTTTGGTTAAAACAATTTGGACTAAGGGAATACTGTGGGGGAATTATATTATTAAAGACTGAAAGAAAATGCCCAAATCATCAATAAAATCACATCTTCTCTATGAGTTATGTGATCTGTAAGCTTAGAATGCTTTAGTAAATCAATCAGTCTTTGGTGACTTGTATATTAATATAAAATATCAAAGATGAATAATCATTACTCTCCAGAATGTTAACAAACAGGTATTATTTGAGAGCAGGTGGGGAAAAAGGAAGTATGGGGTGTGACCTCTTGTTGGTGCTTTTGCATGTGTGATGGATGGTGATTGTTAGAGCTCTGTTAGAGCTTTGTTAGAGCTCTTAGAGCTGTGGCCGAGGACGTTTCCTTAGGACAATAATGGACAGAACAGGTGTCAGACTTCTCTGAACACTGGGGAGGTGATAAGTAGCATATCTCAAAAATAGTATTAAAATAGTATTTTCCTATCTATTTGCTTCTGCTTTGCCAGCACATGTTGCTGCAGTAAATATCAATATTATGAAAATACTTCATTCATGTCCTACTTGTGGTAACTACAGTTAACTTGTGTAATTTCCATTTTTCTATAGTGATACTGAGACTCTGGTCCCAGATAAGGAGTGGCTTTGCCTTGGAGCTGAACAGCTTTAGACATTGCATTTGCCACATTTACTGGCCTTGTGCTGCCTAGTCAAGCTAGGTCTTGTTAGCATTCTGATTTGATATTTGTTCCTTTGGATACACATGATACTGCATATAGTTTTACAAAAAGATTTCTGAATCTACTGATGTCTGCTTTGCAGGAAACTTGTAGTTTCAGGTAGCTCCAGTGCCATTCCCTGCCACTATACATTTGTCTTTTCACTTGGCCTTCTGTGTATTTTTTAATTTTCTTCTCCAGGCCAGGTTCTACAGTTCTTGGTTTTTTTCAGAGCTATGGCATCTCCTGTTGGCTTCTGTGGTCAGCCTCTTTCAGGTCTGACTGGTCCTGCAAGCAGCAGGTCCTCTGTCAAGCTGCCTGCCCTCTTCATTCCTGTGCGTGTCTCAACAGCTTCTCAGCTGGAGACATTTGGGAGGGATGGTATTGATGTGTATCTGCTGTTTGTTACATTGCACCAGTCTTTTCTCTAAAGGCTTCTGCCTTGTGTCTTTACCCCAATTCTCTTGGAGGAGAATTTTTGTCCCCTGCTGTGCTCTGTGTAACTTTTTGGTTAAGTATGTAGTTGTGCATTGTATCACTACTTGGTTATGTCAGAATTTCAGTCTGGCTGAAGGTATCTGTGGAAGAAGAGACAGAAATGCTGTGCCTGATACATTTCATATTGTGGAAGCACCCAGATGGCTGTTAACACTGTCAAAATCGGAGCCTACTGACACCACATCTATATTCCCCTCAAGAGTTTAAATTTCATTTTCCCCCAAAGTTTCCTAATAGAAAATTTGCTTGGTTTATTTTTCAAATGGTTTGATCATAAAATAGGTATGGGTTGAATCTGCTTTTATTTTGAAGAGGTACAATTATTTTCTGTCATGAGTAGGGTTTGTTTCAGTTGATCAGTGCGTTGCTAAGAAAGTGGTTTGAAACAAAGGCTGCAAAACTTGTAGACTTCTATTATGGACTTAGTTCTGCAGTTTTTCATAATCCTCTGAGAAAACCTGTGATATATGAGAATATGGATTTGTGTGTCTCTTTTCATGTTTGCAGACAAGGACTAGAAAGTATTTACATGTTCATTTTTTGATGTTTCTGACTTGAACTTTTATTGATTTTTAAAGAGAGGTCTAAAATATATTCATTTGGAAATAAAGACCAAAAAAGTAAATGTGGTTTTTTTAATACACGCACTTCTGCTCTTTTTGTCTTTACAGTATTGCTAAAAATGCCTGTTGATTACATTACTGATTAGGAGACTGTCATCTGTGAAAGGCTTCAGACATGCACTGCAGTAACTCTTGTTACTTGTAGAACTCTTGCTACATGTAGTACATGCTGTTGATTTTGAGATCCTGGTCTTGTCCCTCATCAGATTAAACTGACTGTGTTTGAGCCTTGAGAACAAGCTCTGAAGTGACTGTAGGGCTGCAGAAGCCCCTTTGATTACCAGCTGTGCGTAAAAGTATGCAGACAACTTGTTTTTCTCCAAGACAGCCCTTGGAAACAGCTTGATCTGTGTGTAAAATATCTTGCATGGGGCATTTTTCAGGAGAAGCAGCGGCAGCAGCAGGAGCAGCAGCTGCAGCGGCACCTGACGCGGCCCCCGCCCCAGTACCAGGATCAGGCACAGAACCCCTACCAGCAGCAGGTTGGACAGTTCACAGGTGAGTAAACATGGCAGTTCCAACAATAGCAGAAAAAATACCAGCAGTGAAAAACAAGGTGTCTTTAAGTTTCCTGGATTGGATAGCTTTTAATTAATTTATTACATGTCACTGTGCCTTAAAAGCTCTTGACCTATACTCTGATTCAGTTGCAAATTAACAGCTTCCCTGGTTGCAGGTATCTGGGACAACTTAAGCTTCTGTTCTTAATGCTGTTTGGGAAATGAGTAAAATTTTTAAGTACCTTCATTGTTCTACAGGCCTTTTTTATACTTCTATTTCATTATGCAGGTTGGAAATTCTCTCTGTCTTTGATATATTAAGATTCAGAGGGATTTTTTTTCTGAAGCCTGACATCACTACTGCCTGTATCTATCACAGGCCCTCATTAAAGAAAGATAAGTGGTGTGTTATTTCTCTCATCTCTAGGATGAGTTTAAAAGTCTCTAACATTTTTATCCCTGCTACATTTAAAAGAGAATGCAATTTAAATTCTCTTCATTATATGTGAAGTGTCCTATGTGGTTTTTTTTGTATGAGAAACAGCTTAGTATGTCTGTAGTGTATTAATTCTGTTAAATTTCCTTTCATTTTGTTTTCTTACTCTCCATGTTCCTGCAGAAGTAAATACTGGAGGGGTAAGATGCAAATGGAAATGTAATACCCTCACCCTGAGAGTGTTTGTGCCTCTGCAGCTACAATTGGGTTTTGTTACTTAACTGAAAAAACTCAATGCCAATGCAAAAGGATTGTGTGCTAACATAGGCATCAGTAGCATCCTTCAACTATTGCACTGAAATATTTTTTATGTTGCCACCTTTCTACAGAAAGACAGGCATACAGCTGTTAGAAATAGAATAGGTTTTGTTATCATGAACATCAGTACTATTAAAAATACTTTTCTTTGTGATGATGATTGCAACTATTTTTTGCATCTTAAATCCTGATATGTGTGCTGTCTCTTCACTGTAAATATTGTCACAGTAAGACTCTTCCCACACCCATCATTCCCTCGACACTGATGTTTTCATTATGTACTTTGTTGATAATTAATTCAATATAATTTGAATTTATTCTTGATAATTCTGGTTTTATTCAGATAGAATGTTAGTAATAATGGAGATCCAGTATTTCTCAGCTATCATAAAATGTGAAAAAATTCTGCAGCTTACTTTCAGTTTTGAAAGTAGAGAAATTATTAGTGTAGGTAGGTTTCCCCTGGTCGACTGCAAGGAGTGTGGGGGGTGTTACAAGCACTACACTTTACAGAGCTTTTCTGCTTTTTTTGCCTCAAATCGGGGGCCGCTTCTTCTACAAGAAGAAATTTTGAACTCAGAATTTGCACTAGCAAAGGATCATATTTGGTTTGATGAGAAAACATTTTTCCAAATCACCTTGCTTGGCTGTCAGCACTGCATATTAACATACTGAATACTTGACTGTGAAAATCCAAAAGATACTTGACCAAAAATTTCTGAATTAGATATTTCTATCTTAGATAAATAGAAGATATTCCTAGAATTGGGAAAATGCAGAACTGGCAACCCTACAGTTGTATGATAAGAGATGCACTCTTGTGTATGCATGGAATGACTGACAGTGTGTGTGTGTGTGCAGTAAGAGGTATTTTTTAACAGCTTAGTAAATTGAGCATGCACTTCAAAGTATATGTGTTTACCTTTGTTCACAAAGAAATATCAGAGTCCTGCCTTTAAAGTCATAATTTTTTTCAAATTAGTGATGCTGAACTCTTAGAAGTGGTATTCAGATTTTTTTAGGACATTGGCATATCTGTGTTTGAGATCAAGGTGGAGGTGCTAACTGGAGCTGTAGTTGACACTCCTTAATTAAACTCCTGCTCTCTGTGTGTTGCTTGCAGAGGTCAATTTATACAAATGCAGCTGCATCTCTCTTGTGGGTTATTGTGCCTGCAAGCCTGGCTCAGCTCTGGTTGAACCTGAGGTATTTAATGAACAAAATATTTCTTTGTATTTCAGGGTCATCTTCAGCCATGCCTGGGGTCAGTAATTTGGGACAGTCCAGCTCCGGCAGCCCTCGGCTGTTTCCTCAGAGCCAGAACATGATTCAGATGGGACCTGGACACGCTCCTGTTGCTCCACTGCAGTCGGGCTCCAGCCAGCAGGAGCGGGGGGTGTCTCAGTACCCCGGCATGCAGAACATGCAGCGTGGGGGGTTGTACAACCTGGCACCTGGCATGAGCCAGATGGTTCCCCAGCACACGGCCCCGAGTGCCAACGGACAGACCCCCATGCAGAGACAGGGCAGCTTGGGCCAGGGCGCTGCCGTTCCCGCTGCCTACGGGCAGAACACCTTACCAAACTCAAATATTTCTCAGCAGCACAATAAAGGTGCACTGAATGCTACCTTATCTAAGCCACAGATGGCAAGAGTACCAGCTGCTATGGGGGCTCAAAATCCATCTTGGCAACACCAAGGTATCCCTAATATTAACAACCAGACACAAGCAAACAGTGGCTTAGGACCATTTACTGCCAACTCCTCTTTCCACATGCAGCAGACACATCTAAAGATGTCCAACCAGCAGTTTGCCCAGGGAATGCCTCAGGTAAGCCTAAGCACCAGCAGGCCCATGACCTCGATGAACGCTGCCGTCTCTGGGCAGATGCTGTCGTCCTCTTTGGGAGCGCAGCCGCGGACAAATGCGCCCGCGCAGCAGCAGGTACCCTCACAGCAAGTCCTGCCTGGCATCAACCAGACTGTTCCAGACCTGAATGCTTTCAACCAGAACCCAAATCAGCAAATTCCCAACAGAGGAAACCTGCACTGTAGCCAAGGGTACCCTGTGAGGACGACCAGTCAGGAGCTGCCTTTCGCCTACAGCGGCCAGTCAGGCAATAATGGACTTCAGAACTTAACTGGTGACACAGATCTGATAGACTCTTTGCTGAAAAACAGGACTTCAGAGGAGTGGATGAACGATTTGGATGAGTTGTTAGGAACTCATTAAAATGGGGCCGGGGGCGGGGGTTCAACTTTTTTTTTAATTATTTCATGAGATATAAACAACTCTTGGACCAAAAAACCTGTGGCATTGAGGAGACTTGCAGGCATTAGAGGTAAATGGTTGGGAAAAAGACTGGAGCTGCTTCTCACTGAGCATTGACTCGTGGTCACGGCGCACCAAGCAGGTCTGCAGGAGGAGTGCGCTTTGGCCGCGGTCTCTGAGGAGTCGCACACTTGAACAGGTCAAAAAATGCTGTGTCCTGGCCAGCCTTCCAGAAATCTCACTTGCAGTGTTCTAAAACTAAATATATTAATTATTTAAAAACAAAACAAAAATTCCACAGAACTAGTGCAGAAAGAACGCAAATAGTTGCACAAATTGTGTGTAGGGCTTAGTCTGCAGCTATTACTTGCAATAATTATTTGTTCATAGCTTGACATGCTGTTATAGTACTGTCCATCAAACTTCTGATTTTTGTTTGAGAAGAGGCTGTATGCACCTGAGTATGCTTGCAAAATGTTTGGAATTGTTTCTTTTCCCCATTGCTGAAGCATGTGCCTGTACTCTCAGTAAGCAAGTGATACTTCACAGTAAATATTTCTAGATGCTGGTAATAGATGAGAAAAAGTATTAAAACCTGGCCAGTTAGTCTAGATAGTCATCTTCATAGATTGTAGTCTTTTAAGCTGCAGTTTGCACTCTGTTGTAGAGAGGCACAGTTCTTGGCTTGTACCTTGCTGTGTTTAAAGGGGGAATTTCTTATGGGAGAACTTTTAAACTATAGTAGGTTTAACATGAATTGTAAAGCCATTTACTTTGCACCTGTTTCTTCATAACTTATTTCCAAAGGTAGTTGTATTTAAATGAAGGCTTTGCTTCATGACAGCTCATCTAGTTTTCTTTGTTGTAAAAAGTAAAACTAACCTTTGAGAACAGTTCATCCCCCGGAATTCGCAATGAGCACAAGACTTTGTCACTTCAGGATAAAAATGAGGAAAAAAGAAGTTGGTTGGGAGGTGGAAAGTCCTTATTAGCAATAATAGCACAGGCAGCCTGGGAGAATACTTGTGTCAGGGCTGCTCCAATGTGGAAGTCTCCCCCTTTAAATGCTTTGTTTTTTTTAATACTGGCTTACAAGTTTGATAATCTTTCTATAGACTGGTGGATTTACTATTTTAATATCCCTTGAAGCAGATGCTGTTCTTCAGCTCAGCCCAAGGAGACCTCTTATCCATATGTTGGGGTTGGTCCCAGAAAGGACAAAAACCACAATGGGAACAGTCAATGTTCCAAAGTCCTTACTCTCTACCAAAAAAATCTTTTATCCACCAACAAACCACCTTGCCTTAACGTTTATTTTAAAATGAAAATAAAGTTGAAAGCTTTTGTTTTAAATGCACAAATACCTCTTCCCTTTCTAAATCCAGTTTCTTGGAAAACTCCTCTAAACTTTCTAACCAAACCCAGCATTGTGATTTAAAAGCAATTTCCTTCAACACAGACTGGCTTCACCAGGAGTTTTCTGCATTGCAGAATTGTGAGAGAGGGTTTTTTCCAGAGGGGGTGAAGGGAAGGTAAAGATATCATTGGTTTCAAAGAAGGAAAATATTTTACTGTATCTGCAGCTCCTTTATGAGACAATTTGCACTTTTGAAAACTGCTTTTTTAACACTAATACTTTAACCCTTTCCAAATATGCATGGAACATGGTTTGTCCAGCACACTTAGCTAGTGTGGATGAATTCCACTCTGTTGATCAGATTTGCTATTTTATCATGTTGAACTGTTGATGAAAGATGTACATTGATCAGTGGATCCCACCTTTGAACAGTGAATAAAACTTCACTGAAGCAGGCTTAATCCCTCATAGAGCTTTTGAAAAGATAACAGAAAGATTGTCTTTGGATGGGAAGATAAAGATGTTGGTGACTGTGGTTATTTTCTAGATATATTCTAGAATAAGTAGTTGAGATGCAAATAACTGATGCTAGTTTTCTCATACTGGCAATCTAAGAAAAGAGCTAGTGAGCTTGGTTTACTGTTAAGTTAAACCAAAAACTGGTCCAAGGTAAGTGTCATTAGAAGAGTATAGATATAAACTAGCAATGTCAGGGGAAGGAGTGTTTGCTGTATTTTTAATTTTAAGGGTTAACTTTGCACCAGTGTGCCTTCCCTACCTGTCGGGGGTGCTTGGGACCTCAATTTCAAGTGACATCCTTCCGTGTCACTGTTTTTTCCTCCCTCTTACAAACACTTAACAGAAATAACAGGGTAGTGGGATTCAGCTTTTCTTTCTCCCTGTTTAGGTTGTGGTGAAATCTGCTCTGTTTTCCAGTAGATTTTGCACACAGACTTGGTTCTGAATAAGTTAAAATACAATCCATCCAGTTGTGATTTCTTAATTGGAGGAAAAGAACATCTGCTGTTTGCATTGTTACTACCAAAAAGGCAATCCAGCAAAATGTCCAGGAAAAGGCAGATGTGCTCTTTCCTCCACTGTTTCTGGAAGCTAAGGTGGATATTGCTCTGCTTGACCAGAGGGTTTGTTCAGGAAGGTATCTGGGTTTGATGACAGGGCCTTTTCTTGGTACTGTTGGAGTAAAATTAGGTGTGATTCCAGACAAACTGGCTTATAATGCCCATTGGTCTCCGTGTGTGAACAGGATCCAAGCAGTCCCTGTGCACACAACACAGTGCCACAGAACAAGGTTGGAACAGTTCAATGGAAATGAAAATATGGTTTTGATGTACATGGGTGCATGGGCAGGGCTGGGCTCTGCCCTGGTGCCCTGTAATGTGTCAGTGGCTGTGTCTGCACTCGGGCTTTCCATTTGCTGCAGCTTCAGAGCAATAAAACCAATCTCCCCTGAACTGAACCCAGCCGGCCGCCCATGGCTTTATTTATAAACTGCGGTTTTGGTTGGGCAGGCAAGGTGAGAGTGTCACTGTGCAACATCCACTGCCTTCCAAAAACCACGATCCAATTGAAAAGGGTGCTCAAAATTTTGTTATACACATTTCCTTTGTGTAAATAAATGTTTACAATTTTATATTAAAGATTTGAATAAGAGTTAGATCTTCTGACTGTATATTTTTTACTTTTTATAGATTTTAAAACTATAATTCTTTATATATGTGTTTGGGGGGTATTATGGTAAGTTTTATGCTTGTAAATGGAGAACAGTTGAATTTGATGCTAACCTTTATGAATTTTTTGTCATTGAAATGTATAAAGAGTCCATTAATCCCCTTATTCTTTTACTACAATTACTGGTGCACACCAAAAAGAAATCCTTCACTTCTGTTTTATCATTATAAAATAAATATTTTGCTAGTGTATTAAATATACATGGTGTGACTTTATACATTTGCATGAGCCTAGCAGAGTTCAGCATTGTCATTCCTAGTGAGCTGGTTTCTTCCCCTCATCTCAACATACAGTTTTTGCTCAGCCTATTTATTACCAAGGCTAAAATTCTGCTGCTGTGTCTTAACAGTTCTTATGGCTTCAGAAAGTCCATTTAAACAGGCCAGAACTGGATAAAGGGGCCTTAGAAAATGTAACTTTGAAAATCAGGCTTTATGCTACTCCCACTGCTTCTGGGCTTTGGTGGTTTTTTTTTTTCTGGAATGCATTGTAGGCCTTAAGCTGGGAAATTCAGCTGCAGAGGTGGTTGTTAATAGTGAAAAAGATGTTAATAACAACCTCACATGTGCAAAATTGTAGAGTTCCAAAATATGCCAATTCCCTCAGAATAACAGCCTTTATAGGTTCAAACTGATTTCCTCAAGACTTGTCTGATGGAGGCACATGGCACACACAGGAATCCAGCTGAGATGTGGGACACGTGCTGCAAGCAGGAACTGATGTTTCTGAACCAGGAACAAAGTTCTGCCAGCAGTGTGTGTTGTGTGGAGGTCTTGGCTTAAGGCTGCTTAAGTCCTATAGCCCCTGCCCAGCTTCAGACATTGATGGTCATTCTGCAAGCTTTGGTGTCATTGTGCAGATGTGTTTGCAGCCCCTGGCTTACCACAGTGTATTTTTCATGTATTCCTAGTCTACAAGTTTTGTGTTCAGTTTGGGAGAGGAGGAAACCTCAGAAGTTTATAAAGAGCCAAATGTAACAATCAGCAGCAGTACCAGAATCAGCTGCTTTCAGCCCATGGGGAACCATGAGGTTACATTAATTTTTGCTTTATTGTCTCATTAAAAATGCTGCGTTTTGGTTATTGTTCAGTGAAACAGAAATTTCCCAAGCCATCCCCCACTGAAATGACATATGTGGTTTTCAAAAGATTTTAAGGAGTCAGTGGCAGCTTGTCACAAATATTTACTCAGAAACTGATTTTTATTTTCTTGATGCCAGTGTTTTTCCTGAGAGTAATGGAAATCTGTAATGAAAGTTTTCTCAAGCCTGCATTGTTTGTTGAAATAGGTTGTAAGGAGACCCTGGTGCCATTTCCCCTCTGACTTTTACATTGGACACCACACATTAAATCTTTGGTCACCAATAGGTTCAGTTAAGGTTAACTTTTAGGTTTTAGTTCTATTTAGTCTGAGTCTGCTGTACCTTGGAGGGTCTGAAGTCACATCATATGAGTCTTTTTTAGAGAGAGGGAGTGGTTTTGCTATTCTACATGGGTGGTTATATATAAAAAGTGTAACATTGGATATTTGATTGATTAACTGAATTTTCAGCTTGATGAGCTGTCACAATGGGGTTTTGAAGCAATGAAGAGCCAAACTAGAAAAAAATCTTGCTGTGTTGCTCTTGGGAGAAACTGCAGGTCTGGTACATGCACAAATTCTGTAGTGAGGGTTTGTGTGTGTGACTCAACAGAGAGAAATGCAATGGCTCAACCACCAACATTAAGGGAAAACCTTCCTCCTCTTTGATTTAAAAAATTTTAAAGTCAGAGCAGTCATCCATATAAAGTTGCTCAAGAACATAAGGTAGCTTTTCGAACTGATGCCAATTTTACATTTGTGAAGTGGGGAGAAAAGTCATTCAGGGCTAAAACATTGCTGGTTTTCAGATTTTACATTTTACAATTATGACTCTGATGTCAGTGTAACATTTCTCAGGGTCTATGTTTCTACATCCTCTGCTGCCTTCAGAACTGAGAACTTTTATTTTGAATGTTACCCAGGGAAAGGTTTGTATTGCTTAAAAACTTCAGAAAACTACTAAGGGTGAGTGAGTGCTAGAAAAGAACTGTACTCCTCTTTGGTAAACTGAAGAGTAGTAATCAGTAGGACGAAGTATCTGAATGTTCTGTTAAATCACAGAATCTGGTAACAGAATTAAGTTATTCCAGCTGGAGTGTATCAAATCCTTCATGTGGTCAACTCCACTACTTGAAATAAGAGCAGAAGGTCAAGTCATTAATTTGTAAATGCTTGTTAATAATTTTTACAACCTTGCACATAATTGAGATGCTTCAGAGCTCATTAAAACTAGCAACAAAAGGGCTGGAAAGAATTCCATCATCTTTCCATTGCTGGCAGCATTTAATTCAATAATGGCATAGTCTGTAAATGTAATTAGAAGAATTTCACAGTTTGCTCATGTAAAATTCTTCCCTGCTCTATTGTTCAGCAAAAAGCAATTGGCTGAATGGAATAGAGATTTTCTGCTTTGGAAAACCACGTGGTGTGGAGAGAGTTAAGGTGGGTTAAGGTGTGGTGGAGGAAACACCTGTGCTCAGAGGCAGCTCTGTGGGAGTGGGTGGTGCTGGGAGAGAGTGTTGGGACAGCTGTACCCAGCACATCAGCTGGGCTTTGCTCCACAGTCAGCAGCATGAGAGATCAAATAGACCTGCTGGCCACAGTCACAGTTCTGGGCGTCCTGGAGCAAGGTAAATGCCCTTTGTACAATGCCGGTATTCAGCTAATCATGTTAAACTTTGTGGGATGTGGTTCCTGTGTTTTTCTTGGAGCATCTGTGGAGTGAATGTCACTGTTTTCCAACATGGTAAAATGATAGAAATTTTTGGCTGTTAATGGCATGTGTCATGCCTGAGGGTGGTCACTATTTAGCAGGGACTAAAATGATCCTCAAAGCCAGCAAGTAAACTTTTAGACTTAAAGCAATTTCAACGTGATGTTATTAAAGTAAACTAGTTTGTGATTGAATTTTAGCAGGTAATTTGTTACTTGCAGTAGCTGGATGTAGCCAAAATAAAGGCAGGTTAGTAAATGTGCTGGTGAGGAGGTCAGTGTACAGACAGACCTGGTGTGGATGTAGGAAAGAGCCTCATGCACGTGGGTGTTTCTCTGTGACAATATCCACGTTCATAATGCACAGAGCAGATGACAAGATGCACCGAAAGCACAGTAATTTGGAAACTAATGCAAGTTCTGGTCAGATACAGACACAGAGCTCTTCAAAGGAACTCAGTGACTTCTAATTTAAATAGATGCATTGTGTTTAGACCATTTAGAAGGAGCAGCATTGTTAACAAGCTTTGTTTATTTGTGGGTCGTTTGGGCAAAGTTTCTCCCCCTTGATCTTCAGGACAGTCTCTCCCTTGCCTGGGATGGGGACAGAGCCCCCATTTTATTAAAATCTTCACTGTTCCATAAGGAAAGGTTTGTGGGGTTTGTTATTGCTATATTAATTCACCATACAGCTATCACACCTCTGCTTACAAATGGATGTGAATCCCTGAGCAGCATCATGTGCTTTTAGCTGTCAGGTGATAAATCTCCTAATATAAACATTATTTAAAACAAAATATGCCACTTTAAAAATAGAGCTCAAGACGCTGAATTTTCAGTAATTTCCACTCAATTTACAGACATACAGCTACAAACAGAAGAAACTTTTGTACTATGAATTTTTTTGTTGTTAAACTAAGTGGAGGTGGAGCGAGTGTTTAGCGTGGAAAGACAGGACATGAAGAAAACTTGAAATTGAGTTACAGAAATGCT